ATGGAGAGAGAGAGAGAGATCTCCAATAAACATGTGCAAGACGTCCAGCTCTCCTACATGCCGAGCACACACTCTGACCTCCAACCTCACTAGCTGCTCCTCCTCCCCTTGCCTTCCCCTGGGCCAGGCACTGTGGCATGCTCTAGGGCTAGATCCTGGATGCTCTTCCTCTTGTAGACTGTCAACCTAGATGAACTCTTCTAGGTCAATGACTTTACAACTTATGTGCTAATGACACCAAACTAGTCAGGACTTCTCCCCTGGCTTCCAAACTCAGTACAAACCTTATACCTTGCATCTCCAGTTGGCTCTCCCACAGGCATCTTAAATTTAACACCTTTTAAAGAGAACTCTTGAATCTTTCCTCCAACCCTGTTCCTCCCCAAGTCTTCCCCACTTCAATGACTGACACCAACTTGCATCCAGTTGTTCAGGCCAAAACCAGGGCATCATTTTTGATTTCTCCCTTTCCCTCATTAACCACATCCAAAGATCAGGATTTACTTTATAAATGCCTTCCATATCTCTCCAGTCTTCCAGTTGCACCACCTACAAAGCTACAATTATCTCTGGTCTGGAATACTAATGAAACCTCCAAGACTGATCTCCCTGATCCACTTTTGTCCCCTTATAGTAAGGTGAAGCTGGTTTGTTTGGGACAGTTTCAGTTTTCACCTGTTGCTTGATACCCGGTCCAGTTAGTAACTCCTTTCATTTGCAAAAGAATCCCCATTTGGATGACAAATTATATGGTCACCTTGCCTTACAGTCTTTTCTTCTCACAGTAGCTAAAGTCACCTTTTTTTTTTTTTTGCGGTATGTGGGCCTCTCACTCTTGTGGCCTCTCCTGTCACGGAGCACAGGCTCCGGACGCGGAGGCTCAGCGGCCATGGCTCACGGGCCCAGCCGTTACGCGGCATGTGGGATCTTCCCGGACCGGGGCACGAACCCGTGTCCCCTGCACCGGCAGGCGGACTCTCAACCACTGCGCCACCAGGGAAGCCCCTAAAGTCACCTTTTAAAAGTGTAAATCAGATCATGTTTTTCCCCTGCTAAAAACCCTTCAAAGATTTCTTATTACATAAGAATAAATCCAAGTTCCTTACTGTGGTCTAGAAGGTCCTATATAACCTAGCCCACCTACTTCTCATCTCTTCCAACTCTGTCCTTCACTCACATTCTAGCCCCACTGGCCTTTTGATTCTTCCAATTAGTCATGCCCCTTCCAAATTCCAAGCCTTTGTTTTTGCTGCACCCTTTACTGCTACTTTATTCCCCAAGATCTTCTCATAACAAATCTGTCATTTTGTTCTCTTATCAAATATTAACTCTTCAGAAAGGCCTTCTTTGAAGACACAATCTAACGCTCCCAACCCCACCCAAGTTATTCTCTATTATATTGTTCACTTATTTGTTAGTTTATTGCTCTTATTTCTTCACTAGAATGTAGGTCCATTGTCATCCTGTTCACCTTTGGTACCCAAGGTCAGAGCATGTGCTCAATATGTATTTAATGAGAGAATGAATCACAACCCACAACCATAGAAAAAATTAAAACCATGACAGCTCACAAAATCTGGCTATCAAATCAGCAAATATTAAAAGAACAAAAATTCCTTACTTTTCTTCCTAACACTCTGACATGACATTTATGTGATTGTTTATTCTTTGTCTCCCTCTGACTAAAGTGAAATCTCCACAAAAACAGGGACTTGGTTTTGTTACACAGCCATATATTCTTAGCAACTACAAGAGTGCCTGGCATATAGTAAGTGTTCAATAAATATTTACATACTGAATAAATTGACAGTATCTAGGGGTAGATATGGACTAGGTAGTGAAGAAAGGGGTATGGTGAAAATATAATTGGTGCACGATTTCTGTAGGAAATATGACAATATATATCAAAAGCCCTCCAAAGAGGGCATACCTTTAGACTCAGCAATCTCACTTCTAAGAGGAACTTATCCTAAAACAAACAAACAAACAAACAAAGGTACAAAGATTATTTATGAGGAAATTTCTGAGTTGTTTATAATAGAGAAAATTTAGAAATGGCAGCATAATATCCATTTATAGGAAAAGAGAAATGTAATTATAAATCTGTACAATGAAATACATTAAAAATATTGGTGATGTGTATTTATTGATGCAGAAAGAGATAAAAAGTATATTAAAAGAAAAGGCAAACTGAAAACAATGAAGTATAGCAAGACTTCATTTTTGCAAAAACATATGGGGATGACACATGGCTATGTATGAGTGCAGACTGGTATTTACAAATAAAAGTTTAGCCAGGCATACTTCAAAATGTTAACATTGGTTATTTTTGGATAGCGAGATTAAGGGCAATTAAATTTTTTTCTATATACATTTCTCAATTTTTTGTAATTAGGGCAACCAAAATTATCTGAATATGTTCTGCTTTTACAAGTAGGGGGGAAAAAAAGCAATAAATATTATTAAAAAACACAGACACATTTCATCAACTTACTGAAGACTAAAGCCTAGGTTAAGAGCCAGAAGTTCAGAAACATCAACTTCAGCATTGGAGATGGGTTTCTGATTTCCTGAATTCAAGCAAGTTGTTTCCCCTCAGTCAATATTTGTAAAAAAGAAAAAAAAATTACAAAACTTGTTTCTTTCATTTCATTGCTTCCCAAGCTTGAGAAACAGCACAAAGTGTAGCAAAAGCTATCATTTATGCTGGCATTTTCCTTGCATTGCTTCATTAAAAACCTTCTAATGGTCCTGCCAGGTAGGTATTAATGTTCTCAAATGCAAAAGCTGAGAGAAATGACAGAACTTGCCAAAGCTCACACAGCTGTTGGGGGGGGAGGCGGGGGAGTTCCAAGTTCCGTATTTAAACAGAGGTTTCTCTGACCTCAGGGCCTTGAGGAAAAGCTGGACAAAGGCGCTTGAGGCTTTATAACCTTGCTCTCTCAATGCCTCTGATCTTTTGTGTGGTTATCATACCACCCTTATCTAACTTGCAAGAAAGATAAAAGGAGAACCAGCCCAGAGTTTTTAGAAAGGTGGAGTAAGTCTCTGGAGAAGCGAGATTTACACTGGGTACTACTCTGGAACTTGCCCTTCATTTCTCTTCAACTCAAAAGCTCCAAATCAAAATGCTTGGTTGGGTGGTCACAAGGGAGGGGAGGGGGGCAGTTTGAGAGTGCCCCTATGTATGTGTGTGAAGGGTCACAACACACGCGACAGACTGGGATAAGGATGACATCTGGGCACCTGAAGAAGGAAGCTGACCCAGGATGAGGGAAGATGGATACCACTTGGGAGCAAAGGACAAAGTTAGTAGGAAGGACAAATTAAAGGGGGATTGAGAGAAGGAGGAATAGGAAAGAGGAGGAACTGGGAGGAGATGCAGTTGGGAGTTATTCTGCAGTATTTTTTTCTTCCACCTCTTTTCTTTCTATATTCTTTCCCTTGATTATCTCGGTCACAATTAGACCTTCGATGCTCCTTTCTGTTTAGGTGGTTACCAAATCTTTCCAGTCCTGACTTTTCTCCAGAGTTCAAGTCCTCTGCGGTTCAAACTGAATGCAGCATTCCCTCCACCCCAAGCCTGCTCCTACTGTATTTGCTCTCATCGTCAAACATCCATCTGAACTGCTCGCTCTCCCATTCCATCAACCATTCTTTCATCCAACAAATATTTATTGTGGATCTAGTATGTCCCCCACACTGTCACAGCACTAGGGACATCCATTCACTTCCCAAGTTGGGTCACTTTTACCTTGAAAATCTTTTGTCTGTCCATCTCATCTAAATTCTTTACTGAAATTTATTGAGGATCCCTCTTGCTTGAATCATGGCAACATAGCACTATAAGTTAATTGGTTTTGCATGCCATTTATTCTACAGTGACCTCCTAGATTTAGCACTATACCTGAAGTGGCTCACAGTGGAGGCTTAGGGACTACAAACAATGGGAAGGGGATTGGAGAAGCAGAAGCTAGATTTGTCTTGATGAAGTATTTGCAAAGGAAGAAAGGGGTTTACAAATAACATCAGTGTGACAATTCTGTTATTTCTGGGGTGTGGCTTTGGGAGGCTGGGAAGATTGTTGGAAGTCTGATGCTGGGAGTCTCCTGATAGAAAGCCTTGCCCACCTCCCATCCCTTGAGTACTCAATAGCCACTTGTTGATTATATCACCTTCTATGACAGAAACCGCGAATGTTGTGTTCTCCATCGCATCCCCAGCTCTTAGAACATCAGGCCCATAGTAGGAGTTCAATAAATATCTGTGGAGGATTCTAGAAAGGCAGGGACCATAGATGTTTTATTCACTACCTTAGGAAGAAGGACAAAGAGACTGAGGGAAAAAGAAATCGTGCAAGATGTTTCCCTCCTTATCCCGAGCCTGGTAAATGTTTCCTAAGAGAAATAAACGGCCCTCCTGCACAACTCCAAAATCGGGCCCCTCGCTCGGCTGCCAGGCCCTGGAGCGCGGCCACCATCTGGCCCAGGCCCCAGCTTCCCTCCCTCCCCGCCCGGGCTCCTGTTACCTCCCTGCATACATCTGTACCCACCACAAGCCAAACAATTACACGCTCCCGCGTCCCCGCCTCGTGGTCCGCGACTACCCCCAGGACCCTGCGTGCCCCCAGGCCCCCCGGCCGCCACCCCCGCCAAGGCTCGGGGAAGCGCACGGCCCGGCCTGAGACCGCCGCCCGCTGTGGGCTCCTGCACCCCCCGCACCCGGACCTCGTCCATGTGCTCGGCGGCCACTCTCCAGCCTCAGCCCGCTCGGGCTTGAGTGCGGAGCCCGGGAGGCCCGGCTTCCCGACCCGGGCCAGCCGCACTCCTCAGGGTAGAACACGACAGGAAGGCGGCAAGGCGGGAAGCGGTTGCAGCTGTGAGGCGCCCAGGGGCGGGCGGCGGGGCCGCCGGAGCCAGCGGGCCGGGCCGAGGGTGGCCCGAGCAGAGGCGGCGCTCCGGTCGCGGCGGGGTTCGGGAAGCGGCGGCTCGCTCACTCACCACGGTCCGGCGGGGCAGCGCGCCGGTGGTCCGGGACAGGGCCCGGCGGAGCCTCCGCGCCCGGCCCGAGCGGGTCCCCCCGGAGCTCTCGGAGCCGCTGTCGTCCGAGATCACGATGAAGTCCTCCATGGCTGTGGGTCCCGGCCGAGCCAGCGCGCGGACGGCCGGCAACCCGGGAGGCGGCAGCGGCGGCGTTGACTTCGGTTACTGCTGCTGAGGCGGCGGCGGCGACGGCGACGACAACCGGGGCCATCACCCCGACTGCCCCGCCCCGATCCCCGCCCCGTCGGCCCCTTCCCGCCCCTCCGGAGCACCGCCCCCTGGCGGCTGGCGGCGGGCGGCAGGCGGCGGGCGGCTAGCGGCTGGTAGGGTCGCGGTCACGGTTTTTGGCGGTGGCACTCGTTCTCCCTTCCCGGAAAGCGAGAGAAAATCAAGTCGCAGCCGGCTTGGGCCGGTGTTGGGGACGGCCGTGCGGGACGCTGAGGCTGTGAGGGCTTCCCCTGCTGCTTCTGACTCAAGTGTGAGGTGAGGTGTGAACAGGCCTCTCTGACCCAGACAGCCTCGACATACTCGCCCGAAGAGCGTCCCTTTTCTGCACACGTGCAAGTACCTTTGTAGGATCATTTCCTAGAAGTGGAATTACTAGGTCCAAGGCGCTGTTTCTGTTCTGATAAGTGATGCCAAATTACTAAATTGTACCAATTTGCGGTTTCACCAACAATATATGTCACTCAGGAATTTAAACTGAGATTTAGAGATTTGTTCAGTTGGTAGCAGGATCAGAGACTGAAAAAAATGCACAAAGAGAAGCGATGAAGGAGCAGAAATTATAAATATTTAGATGTTATGAATAAGCAAAAAAGATACACCCAGTGGAGGGAGAAGCGGTAGGTAGTTGGTTGTTGAGCAGGAACGTTAAAATCAGGATAGGATCTGTGTTACAATAAATGGGGTATTGACAAAATCTTGCTGCCCAGGCTCTAGCAATTTGGCAGAATGTATTAACAGAGCTAAAGGAAAATGTGTTTATCGGAAAGGGGATTGGTTCCTAAAGGAATGGTTGTCAGGTGCTATCTAAGCACTGCTTAGAGCAGCGATTCTCAAACTTTAGTGAGCATCAGAATCACCCAGAAGGCTTGTTAAAACAGATTGCTGGGCCACACCCCAGGGTTTCTGACTTAGTAGGTTTATGAGGTGGGGCCACCCAGCTTTCATTTCTAACAGGTTCCCAGGTGATGTTGATGCTGCTCTTGTGGGGACCACGCATTGAAAACCTCAGATCAATGGCCAATAGATTTCAGATGTTCTGGTGGTATGTTTGAAATCATCCTTGTTGTGAAGGGATTCATTAAGTTGTTTGTCTTCACCAAATGCCATTAAACATTTAGTTTATTTAACTTATTTTTGGGGCTTCTGTGGCTCAGCACCTCTGTTACCACTTCTTTTCATTCTCCTTAGCTGACTCCTGCTCCTCTCACTTCTTAAATCATGGTGTTCCTCATGACCTTCACATACTTCTCCCTACACAATCTCAATCGTTTCCATGCTTTAATGATAATTTTGATGCTGGTGACCCCCATATGTTTATCCCCAGCCCAGTCCTGTCCTCAAAGCTCCGGATATATATATCCAAATGTCTGTTGAACCTCATAGGCATCTCAAGTTGAATATGTCCAAAACTGAACTCAACCTCCATCCCCCTACCTGGCCCTCCAAAAATAAAGCCTGCTTCTTCTCTGTGTTCCCTACTTTAGTGACTGGTGGTACTACCAGCCAGCAATGGCACAGCTTTATGCCCTCAACAAATCCTGTCTCTTTTACCCCCTAAATATTTCTTGTACTCACTTGCTTCTTTTAGTCTCTGCTCTTATGATTCTAGGCAAGCTAAGATCACCTCTAGTCTAGTCAATAGTCATAGTCTCCTATCCAGTCTTCCTGAATCTATTCTTGTCCTATTTCATTCCTTCCTCCACACTCAGCCAGAGTGCTCTTTAAGAAAGTATGTAATGAACCCCTTCAGTGGCTTCCTAATAACACTATGCCTTCGTGTGCTCAGGTTGCCATGACAAAATACCATAGACTGGTGGCTTAAACAACAGAAATTTATTTTCTCACGGTCCTGGAGGCTGGGAATTCCAAGATTAAGGTGCTGACCAATTCAGTTCTCAGTGAAGACTCTTTCCTTGGGTTGCAGATTTCTCAGTATAACTTTAAATGGCCTTTCCCCAGTGGGTGCATGCAGGGAGAGGGTGAGGGTGAGGATTAATGGCCTTCTTATAAGGGCACTAATCCTATCATGAGGATACCCTCATGCCCTCATGCCTTACTCTAATCTAACCTTAATTACCTTCCAAAGACCACATCTCCAGATACCATTACATTGTGGGGTTAGAGTTTCACCATATGAATTTTGGAAGAACACAAACATAACATGCTATGAACGTCTAAATATAAGGACAAATATAAATAATATGTATTTTGTGTAGATTATATTAATGTTATTTTATATAGTAAATATATGATATGTTTACATATAGTAAGTATATGATTTCACTGTAAGTAAATTTTACCTTAAAAAAAAAGAAATGGTAAAAAATTTTGAGGTTTATGATATGCATGCTATAGTGTTAAGGAGTGAAATGTAATGAAGTCTGCAAATTACTTTGAAATGCATCAAAAATAAGATGGATAAATGTATAGAAAGATAGATGTGGGTAAATAAATATAATAAAACAGTAACATTGTCAAATACATGGTCGTTATATGGGTGTTCACTTTTACCTTTTATGTATATTTAGATGTTTTTATATTATGTTGAGAAAAAAATTAAGAAACAATTATAATTTTACCACTATTTTTTTTTTTTTTTTTTGCGGTATGCAGGCCTCTCACTGCTGTGACCTCTCCCGTTGCGGAGCACAGGCTCCGGATGCGCAGGCTCAGCGGCCGTGGCTCACGGGCCCAGCCGCTCCGCAGCATGTGGGATCCTCCCGGACCGGGGCACGAACCCGTGTTCCCCGCATCGGCAGGCGGACTCTCAACCACTGCGCCACCAGGGAAGCCCTACCACTATTTTAAAAACTTAAACAAAAGAGATTATAATGAACCCCGTGTGCCCATCATCCAGCTTCAAGAATTATCAATCTTGTTCTGTTTATATTCCCACGCACTGTCTCACCTCTACCTTCCTGAATTATTTTAAGGTAAATATCAGACATCACATTGTTTATTCTGCAGACATTTCAGTTTGTATCTTTAAAAGATAAGGAATCTACATTCATCAAGTTATTGTTGAGCATATATGCTGTACTCAAGGGATACAATAGTGAACAACATAGACATGGTCTCTGATCCATGGTGCTTATAGTTTATGGGGAAGACAATAAACTAGTAAATAATTATAGATTATGATAAGTATATAGCCAGTTTGTAAAGTCTTCACTTGTGGGATATAAATATGAAACGATTTAATTTGTTTCCCCTATAACCATTACCACTGTCTTTAGAAATTCACTTAACTCTGTTGAACGGATTCCCTTAAGAATATTCTACTCTGGTCCTATAACTGCAGTCACTTTCAGTAACTAATACAGTCCCATTCCAAGTATTATGACTTAGGCCTGCCTGTTTAAAATCTTTAATCTCTTATTTAATTCATAGCTCTTCCCGTTCTCCTGGTGCAGGTGGACTTGTGGCTACAACAGTTCTTAGTGGAGGGAGTGGTAATGTCACTCCCTTTCTTTCTGCTTGGCTCTGCTCCTAAGTAAGGATGAGGAGGAGGGAGAAAGAATGTTCTCTGCAAGACTGTCCATGAAGAGTTATCTGTTCTTTTTCTTCTGGTTGTTGCTACTTCAGTAACAGTTCTCCCAATGTGTCAGGAGTCTGGATGCCAGCTCTCTTACTTGGAATGGGCACATTGTTGCTCTCTGGGGCCTCCCCTGTGCACTCTCTAATGTAGGAGAGGTCAATCTAAACCCTTTCTCCCAGACATCCCCACCAGTCCCTGCCAGGGGCAGTCTAACGTATAGCCTTTTGTTGTTGGGGGATCTTTGTCTGGAGGGGCTTCTTGGGGAGTGCCAGCAAGGGCCTTAAGCCTCAGCCACCTTCTGTGCTCTCCAGTTGACTCACCCATGGAGAATTTACGTGCATAACTCAAGGAGGAAGGGAATGCAGGCAGCTCCCATCTTAGTGCTCTTCTCTTAGCATCAACAAGCTCTCTCCTCCCTTCCTTCACCCCTAGGGGCATCAGGGGCTTATGCAGGGCAATAGTTCCGTGACTTTCAGACAAGTTCTCAGCTTGGGGAGTGGAGAGAGGAGTAGTTTACTGCACTTTAAACTTGTGGGAAGGGAATGGGAGAACAAGATGAATGGCCTCCATCCTCTTTAGCTAGAGAAAAGCAATGGATGGTTGCCATCTACTATAAGTAATGTTCATTCATGGATATATGAACAAATTGGAAAAAAATTCAAATATCTACTTCTGTTGCAGAATTTATGATTAAAGTGATTAATATTAGTAACTGACTTTCAAACACACAAATAGTGATAAGACTTCAGGGGTACAACAGTGTTCCGATTGTATATATCTTTCTCATCAGCCATCCTGCCTGAAACTCAGGAAATATAGGGCCCCTGGTTGTATAATATGAGTACACTTGAAAAGTTCCTTGTCCTTATCTGGCAACCCAGATGGATGAATACCACCCCGAAGTTGCCTTTCTTAAAACCATTAAGTAGTGTCACTTATGTTTTCTTGGCCATCCTGCATCTGTCTTGAAACAGGCTGCTACCCAAGACTTCCCAAGTTTATGATGATGTTTTTTTCAGAAATTAGTATGTATGTGTATTTTTCTTTTTCCTCTGGGTGACTTATATTATTTTTTCCAGATTTATTGAAATATAATTGACATATAACATTGTGTAAGTATTAGGTGTACAGTGTGATGTTTTTATATATGTATATATGGGGAAATGTTTACCACAATAAGGTTAGTTAATACATCCTTTATCTCACATAATTACCATTTTGTTGTTGTTGTTATGGTGAGAACAGTAAAGCAACATTTAAGTATATAATACAGTATTATTATCTATAGTCATCATGCTGTACATTAGATCCCTGGAACTTATTCATCTTATAACTGAAAGTTTGTACCCTTTGACCAACATCTCCCGATTCCCCCCACCAACCCCCAGACCCTGGTAACCACCATTCTACTCTCGTTTTCTCTGAGTTTTGTGTTTC